GGGATTTATTTCTAAGGTCATTACAAAATAGAATGCAAGAAGTCTATGAGTCTTACTTCAGCCAGGATGATTGTGTTGAAACCTCAGAATAACTAGAGATCATTGTCTCTAGAAGAAAACATTTCAGATTACTTGAAGTCAAATCCTCCTAAAACTTGAAATTGTTATCAAATAAACAGGCTACTCATTCTATTGGTGATCCAAAAGTGCAAAGTATGGGTGTGTGAAAGTCTCAGGCAGGACTGGCTTACACGGTAAGATCTTACCCACTTCCCTTATGCTAAAGTGGTTTCTGTGGCAATTCAACTATTTTCCCTGGTAAGAAGCTCTTTTTATCTTTAACACATTGTAGGATATGTTGTGTTTTAAAGCTTTACTTCTCTCCCTCCTTCTCTTTGTTCCTCCTGCCCTTCCTTCCTCCCTCACTCCCTTCCTTCCTCCCTCACTCCCTTCCTTCCTCCCTACCTTCCCTTCTTCTTTCCTCCCTCCTTCCCTCTTTCCTTCCTTCCTCCCCTCCCTCCCCCACTTCCTTTCTTTTAATTTTGGCCCACTCCTATCATGGGAAAAAGAGACAAACCAGAGCTTCTAACGCATCTAATTGATTCGTTCCTTCTTTTACCAAAAATTAGTATTTTAGCACCCTTCTATTGATAGTATGTTGAGCCTTAATTTGCCCAGATTCAGCCAGTACACCTCACCAGTGAGGTGTCAGGCTGCTAGCCATTGGTAGAGGAGGGCATGGGCAGTGCTGTGGGACTTGCATACATCTTCCTTCACACTACTGACATGAATGATGCCTATTTAAACCTCAGTATGTATGTTCTTAATAACTAGTTATTTGAAAGATGTACATCAATAGTATGGTAATATTAAGATTCATCAACCAAATATCCCAGTAATCTTTAGCCCAACAACCCTTGGTAACTAAGCAAATAATCCTCAGTAGATTAAACTGAAAATGATAAAACTAAACTAACACCCATTTATACTTACAAAGAGAAAAAAGCAACAATTTGAAAACTAAAACAACTCACAAGATTGGTGAAGTTCTGAGAACAAGGCATTCCAGCTGTTTACATTCATTCATGACAGTAGTTCTCCGATTTTCCCAAGTGTTGCATTTGAAGGATTATATATACAGTACTTTTTTTCTTTTAATTCTAACAATGTGGTGAGATAAACAAAGTTTATCTTATGAACTTTAAGAACAATCAATAATAGCTCATCTTGTATTTAGTAAAAAAATTTAGTTCTCCTTAAAAAGGATTAAATATGGAGGTGTTTATTGGTTGTAAAAGGAAGAAAGACCTTGTGTTTTGGATTTGTTGAAGGCCCTCACCGGGTGGTTTTCCCAGAATCTCCTGATTCTGCACCACCCCTCAGGAAGCCTTGTCATGCCCAGAGGACACTTGTGGCACCCCGTGCTGCGAGGGAAGGGTTAGGAGCCTTAAAGAACAGACATTCCCTGTGCACATGGTTGGGCATCCTTCAAATACAGGGGACCTGCCTTGAGGCACCAGTCTCATGTCAACTTTGGACCAGATGGCTGCTGAGGTTCCCGTGAGTCCATTTATGACTGACTGGGAGATTATAGTTGACATTTCTGCTCAGAGTTGGAACTGCACACTTTATTTCAATAGTTGTATTCTTGTTCTGAGAACAGCACCATTAATGACTTATTGGCTTGTAGACTATGTTTCTGAACTGGTTGTATGAGGGGTGACTTGCTTTTATATTAATCATAAATTTGGGATGGGTTTTAATAGATTTTTAAAAGTGAATACTGTTATTGACTTCTTTCTGAGTGACTATTTAATCCTTCACATGGCTCTTCCAGTAAACACTTGATGAAGTAACACTAATTTTTAGTTTTCTGAAAGTATCAAAATCTCATCAGAGAGCTTAACATTTCCGATACGGGGTTCTTGTCAAGGGATCCAGATTATCTTAATGATCAGCTCAGATGCTTGTTCTCTCATTAAAAACATTTCATTAAAAAAAAAAAAACCTTTTATTGTTTGCTTGGAAAAAAGTTTAGATTCGAAGACCTGGCACCAATACAACCTCATTTATCTTAATACAGGTGGTGAAAATAGGCTGTTTCATAAGAGACGCTATGACTTCCTGGATATTTGTTTCCAAGAGTGACCCTGCGTGGAGGACAGTGTCCTCACATGGGTCAGGAGAAGAGGAAGGTGTAATCTGGTGCTCCTGGGTTCTAGAGAGCCCTCAGGACACCCATCTATCACAAAGTGCAACAGATTTTTAAATATAGACTTGGATTTCACCTTGATTAGGAAGACAGTGTCTAAATCAAACAGTATCCAAAATCTGCATTGCAGTATCTCCATTCTTGGGCTAGTGAAATTCCATGTGCAAAGTGATCAGAAAGAGCTCTCCTCAATGAAAGATTTGGGGAATTTTGGAAAGAGTAAGCAAAACATGTTTAATTTACATGAATACCCAGTGAAGAGAGCATTAGAATGGGAGTTTTGAAACAAAATTTTTCCACATTATTTCTGCTTCCTTAGTGAACGTTGCTTGTTGCTTTTATAAATAATACTTCCTCCAGCTGGCACGTTTCAACAGGATCCTTTCAACAGGATTTCATGGGACACTGAGCAATTCCGGTACCTCTCTCAATCAAAACTAAAGGTTGTATTATTTCCTCTATCATTTTTCTTTCTAGTGGCTGGGAAAGGGGTTGTTGATATTATTGTTAATGTTTCAAGGGAAAGCATAGCTGCTAATTTTTTAGGTGAAGCACATCTTTCAACCTTGGTCACGTCCTTGGAAAAACAAACCAGATTTCAAAAGATAAGGGTGAGGAGAATAACTCCGGTCTTCCTTTAGTTTGCTCTCATTTCCTTTCCTGAATATGCCGCATTGTTAGGACCTTGCTCCTAGGTGGAGGTGCATCCATAGCTGAGGGCAGTCTCACTTGCCTGGGTGACATAAGGACTGGACATTGGAAATGCCCATGATTTCCATCGTCAGAGAACAAATGGGTCAGTTGGCAACTAAAGGTCAAATCAATAATGACTCTTTTGTGTGTGGGCACTGTCGGAACAGAAAACCTTTCACCAATTTTAATAAAACCTCTGACACATGATTGTAGACAAGCATTGGGGAAAATCTTGTGACCTCTTTGGAATATATAAGGATTCTCAAGGTGGCACTAGAGGTCACAGAGAGAATGGAGATTCAAGGAGAGTCTTTCCAAGAACAGAAGTCCTGCAAATCCACAGTGGCTTCTCAGAAGTAAGGCAAGACTCCAACAAGGCTTGAGAATAGAAACTTATTTGTTAGTTGAGGGGACATTTGGCTTAGACAGCTTAGCAACCGTTAGTCTATATCATGGAGAAAGGGAGAGTCATTAGTAAAATAGACTTCAGTGTGGGGACTTGAATCGGTAAAATAAGTGGAGAGGGAACATGCGAGTACATGTAACAAGTGTCGGTCAATAACGTAACACGGTAGAGAATTCCAGATGATCCCAAAGTAAATGGATGAACCTGGCACTTGGCAAACAGGACTCTCTGACAAAGACTGGGCAGATGGCAGAGGAAAGAAGCATGTTTTCAAACAGCCCCAGGCTCTGTCAACATTAGCTGTACCCACAAAGTGGAAAAGATGGACTTTACCCATATAGAATGTGGGAGAGACAGTTGTACAATAAGATTACTATCACTGCATTGTTGTTAGCAAGCACTCAGACAAGCAAAATCAATAGAGCACAGAAGCACCTCTAAGGAAGGGCCAGGTTTGCCTGGATTACCCTCTTGCAATGGAGAACTGAAAGGCAGGATCATTGTCCTTGAAGAGTAATTTGGTATTTTGCTGAATTTTAGGTCACTGGCTTCTTCTCCATCTGGAAGTCTTGCCTTCAGGCCCACCACCACAGGCAAGTATCCCACCCACAGTGCTGACATAGTTTAACTGTGAAGTTAGGTGTCATTCATGGTGCCTCAGGGGCTTGGGCACAGCCTGTGACTCTGCAGCGACAGCACCTCAGGGTGACAGCCCACTTATCAGAGTTCTTCCTCTGCAGGGAGCTGGACTCTGGAAGAGCCTCGGGGAGCACAACCTCCTGTAGATCACCCCTGAGCACCAGGTCATCCCTGCTGATGTGGACTTCCCAGGGAGCCCTTCCTGATCACTCCAGAGAAAAAACCCTTTCACATTTTTAAAGTCCTTTTCACCATCGGATTTTTATGTACTTACTCGTTTACTTGTTTATTCTTTCTTGCCCTACCAGAATGTATGTATCATAAGGTCAGGGACTGTGTCTCTTTAGTTTCCTGCTATATCTCCCCATCGACATCCTATAAATATCAGAGAAATTGAATGAATATTTGAGAACTGAATGGATAAGGCCTTAAGGAAAGCTTTTTAACACTTTCTAGCCTTTCTCTTTCCTGAAAGAAATCTGAACTAAAAGGAAAACAACAGACAGGCTCATTAGTGTACCCAAGAGGGTGTGAAAGACCCTTTGTTCCAATAAGAACAAGCAGTTCTCAGCACTTCCTGATTATTCGTCTAAGGCAGAACCCTTCTAACCCCAAGATGCTGTCCCTGGAGTCTCAATGACAAGTTCTTGGTACTTAGGGAAACAAAAAACCAGGAGGATTGATTCAAAAGCGGCTCAGGAAAACAGCAGAGGTCAATGATTACTGACTTGTGCCTAAATTCTATTTTCTTTAGATTTTCCCTTTGCTGTACCTCAATTTCACTGTTTGAAATGAGGGTGGCCAATAGAGCTTGTGAAGTATTGGTTATCTTTATGAGTAAATTGTATGGAAAGGTTCATAACTGCCTGTATTTCTTTAACTCTTCTGTTCCACAGTCTCTGGGTACCATCTTGTATTGCAGGGCTTTCATGACATCTGCAGTCAAGCTGCCACCAAGGATATAGTCACCAACTAAGAAAGACATGTCAGGACCACATGAAGTGGGACTTGATTGCCCAAATTCCCTTTATCTTTGTAATTGAATTGCAGATACCAAGGACATCTGAGCTGGGGTTTAAGACTTCCTCAAGATGCCTGGGAAAGCCCTCAGTTTCAACGTTGATCAAATGGATATAAGACCACAAAACCCATGAAAATCTAGTTGTGCAATCTGAGAGTGGTGTCCATGTTAAAGATCTTTTGGGTCTTTGGCAAAAATTCATGAGACTCTTAGAAAGGTAAGCTCTCCAACTTCTTGTCAAATTTGGATCAAAGCAAGGGAGTGAGATAACTTTTTGGTTTCCTGAAAGAATCTGTTCCTTAAATGAGTTTCTTCATCAATGCCAAAATGTTCCACAGAGGTCATAGCACCTTCCACTTACCTCTGTTAGGGACAGCCTGGGACCATCTCAGACAAGCTTGGGAAAGTCACTTGTTAACATTTCAGGAAAGTTGAGAGCTGGTCCATCTAACATTAGTAGCTTTAAAAGTGCCATGGTGGGAGGGAGTATTTAAAACACTATACACAGGCAAACAGTATAAACAATGAGGGCTCCTCCCTCATCCCTCAGGAGCTGGTTTTTAAGGACATTACTAGTCATTAGTCATCCCTCAATATGACTATGAGAATCTGACCATCTGAACTCACAGTGCATTGCATGTGTGTGTGTGTGTGTGTGTGTGTGTGTGTGCGTGTGTGTGTTTGTAGTGAAATAGTGTATGGGAATAGGAAGGAGAAAAAGATGTTTGCAAAATGCTTTGTTAGCCAGATGGGGACCATAGGGCACAGAAAGATGGGATGTGGAGTTTAAAAGTCCAAATATTTTTACCAGGTGTGGTGGTGCAAGCTTGTGTCCTAGCACTTGGAGACTGAGGCAGAAGGGTCATCTTAAGTTCAGACCAGCCTGAACTACATAAGTGAGACCTTGCCTCAAAAAACAAAACAAAACTAAATAAAAAATTGAAGACCAAAACCAAAGACAAATCCAGACATTTTTACATTAAAAATATAATTAGACTAAAATAATCCTTGATTCCAGGCGCGATGATGCATAGCTGTAATCCCAGCACTCGGGAGACTGAGGCAGGAGGATCGTTGTGAGTTCAAGACCAACTTGGGCTACAAAGGCTACCTTGAGCTCAAGGCCAGCCTGAACTGCATAGTGAGACTCTGTCTTAAAAGGACAAAAAATATAATAATAATCCTTGATATAATCTTCAGTAGTTTGAGAGCACATCATTTAAAGGAATGAGTTACAAATCTTTCCATGACTTATTGATGAGGGGAACAGCTGATATGTGTATTTGGAAAATGATACAGATAGATTACATTTTTGTAAAAACAAAAAAATATAACTTAAAAGAAATAACATGTATATGCATTTTTCTATTATAGTGCATAGAAACTGCAAGTTGTTAAAATAAGGGGTGAGCAAATAAAATGGAGGGGAATGACATTTTAAATTCATATTACTTACATTTCTGACCTTTTGTCAAGTATCCCTTGTTTTCATTTTGGGTTTGCAGAGCAAATAGTTTTAAAGAATGACTTATTTAGAGCAGTAATATGAATGAAATATTGTAGGTGTACATGAAAAGTTTTGAGAGAAATTAGAATTCATTCAGTCCTACACACCAAATTTCACAGCAGTATCTGCTCAAAACCGGAACATTTAGAAATAACACAACTCTGAATAGAGTATAAAGATGAACTGCTAATTTAAAAATATTAGGGGGATGTGGTTGTGTGTGCCTGCTCATGCTTTAAATACTGTACTTTGTGAAAACAGCGGAGGATGAAAGGATCCTAGAAAATGGAGACTATGGCTGCCTATTGGGGTAAAAGTACCTTATAGACAAAGGAATATTCATTTGTGCTTGGAGCAGAGCCTAAATGTGTTTGTGCCTGTTCCTGATGGCTCTACAGCAGCCGCTAAATTTCCCTGTGGTTTATTTTATAGCACTTGTGGTGGGGAAACAAGGAAAGATCAACTTCTTTGTGAAAGGATCTAATAAGCCATCATTCAATTTCTACTCTACACAGTAGGCCCCTCCCCCACCCATGGAAACATGTCTCAGCACTCCCAGTGGACACCTGAAGTGACTTATAGTACAAATCCCACGCATGCCACATTTGTTCCTGTACATATATGCATACATGTGATAAGTGTAATTGGCAAATTAGGTCTAGTAGAAGCTTACCAATAACTAATAATAAAATACCCAGCCCCAAGTTCTTTTAAGGATATGACAGAAGTACAAGAAGTCAATGTTAGTTTGCATACTAGTACTGGCATAGTTCATGCTCTTCCTGTTTTCAGTGCCTATTTGTTTTAAAGACAATAGAGGATCTTTACGTAGGACCATGGACCAGGCCCTTCTGCATGAGTACCGCTGAGATTAGTATGAGAAGACAGGTTTGAAACATGTTACAAAACTAGAATTAATGTCAACAGCTAATAGCCATACTAAAAAGCCAACACAGGCTTTTGCTTTGCTTATATTGTGCTAGTCCATAACACAGAGGAGTAGGGTAATTATTGCTTGCTTTAAGCGGAGGGCAGCAAGGAGATGCTATGGCCTGAAAAATCCCAGCGCTGTAATTCACACTGGTTGTTGAGGACACTTTAATGGCAGTAGCCAGCTACAAAATATACGATGTGCCTGTGGTGTTTTAGTTCGCAAAGCTTCCCTCTAGTACATTTCAGGCTATTTCACCTTTCCTTGCTTCTGCATGCTGCTTCCTTTGTCTGGATCACCCTCACTCTCATCCCATCTCACTTGGATAACTCCTCCCTATTACTTAATAGTAAACCCGGGTATCACTGCACACAGGAAAGCTTCCTAAGCATTCCCTGCCTCTAGCCTGGATGGGGTGGTGTATCGGTGTTACCATGGTAATTTCTGACTACTCCCATCATAGCACTTGGCACAGTGTGCTGTATCACTTATGTATGGCTTATCTCTTCCTTATGGCCATGGTTCCACACTTCAGTTGCACATTAAAATGTTCTGAGGAAAATTTAAAAGTCCTGTCTGCATTCCAGATCGATAAAATCAGGCTTTCTGCTAGTCAGACTCAGGGTTTAGTATGTGCAGATGATTCCAACTTGATGTCAATGTGTAGTCAACGCAAGGACGCATTGCACGAGTGGCAAAGCATTAGAGGGTGGTGATTGGACTTTCAGTATACTGACCCAATGTGTAAGCCTGTCTGATGGTCAAATTGTGCTCAATTAATACATTTAAATAATTCAAAGTAGAGTATTTTAGTCTCTAAGCAACATTGATTAGTTGCAATTTACCTAGGATGTAAGCAGTTAAAGGGTAAAAAATGTACGAATAACATATTGCTAAAGACCATTAAGTCCACTGATTTTATAGCCAGGATTTGGGAGAAAGCCATGGTGTGTTTTTCATAGCTCATATTCTGAAAACTCTCCTGAGAGTGTTTTGTATCATTTTAATGAAAATTTTCTTAGACAAAATGATGACCTTTGGATTTGGACAAAATACTTTTGCAATGTTATTGAACAGGAGATTTATATGTGTAAGGACCGGATGCAGTGTTCACAGTAGTTCACAGTGGTTCACAGTGGTTCACAGGCCAGCTGCATCCAAATAAAAATATATGTTTTCACTTTCCATTGCAGATCTACACCTACATTATCTGGAAGGAAAATTCTGGAATTTACCTGCATCTTTTCTCTTTTATTTTGAAATAAAATATTAATACTTAAGTTGTGCAACTCAGTAATTTTTCGTATATTCACAAAGTTGTGCAATTATCACTGTTGTGCAATTCTAGGACATTTTTAATAATACACAAAAGAAATCTGTTCCCAGTAGCAGGCACTGCTTGTCTTTCCTACTCACAGGAGTCAGTGGAACAAGTAATCTATTCTGTATCTCTGTGGATTTACCTATGTTCTGGACATGCATATCCATGGAGTCATACAATATGTAGATTTTTAGTTTCTAGCTTTTTTTTTTTAACTTACCATAGTGTTTAATGCTCACCTATGCCATAGTAAAAATTAGAATTTCTTCTTTTTAACAGACTATCTTGCCAAGTTGGTCCCAAATTGCTGGTCTCAAGTGAACCTCTTGCCTCTGTCTCCTAAATAGCTGGGATTATAGACCTGTGCCACTGTGCCTGGTTTAAGAGCTATAATTCCTTTTTTTATTGGAGGGACATAGCTCTGTCACAAGAATTTTATATTTTTAATTTTTATTTGTACATGTTTGCAGTTCATGTAGTTTATAATTATCTTGGGCAATGGTTAATGTACATATTATAGCATGTTTCTTTCATTTTTTCTAAAATATCCTTCCCCTTCCTTCCCTCCCTCTCCTTCTGCATTTTCCCTATCCCCTTTTTCATATTTGTGGATATTGTTTGTCTTAGCTCATGTTAGTGCATAGAGTGTCCACAGTGATTGGGGTTGTTAGTTTCCACACATACATCTTTACTCCCCTCATTTCCGCTTCCCCTCCTCCTCACCCCTCACCCTTGTTTCCTTGAACCACTTCCTTACTGCAAGAGATCCCCACCCTTGTCCCTTTCTATTCATCCTTTATCATTGTCTTTGTTTGTACTTTGCCTCACTCAAGTGAGAGATACCATATGGTATTTAAGCTCATGTGTCTGGTTTATTTCACCCAACATCATATTTTCCAGGTGCATCCATTTGCCTACAAATACCTCAAATGTGTCATTCTTTATAGCCGTGTAGTATTCCATTATGCACAGGTACCACATTTTCTTCACCTGATTGTCTGTCGATGGGTATACAGGTTGCTTCCAGGAGTTAGCTATTATGCATTATGCTGCTATAAACATTGGTATGCAAGTATCACTGTAGTGTAATGACTTCAGCTCATTGGGGAAGGCACCTAGGAGGGGAATAGTTGAGTCACATGAAATTTCTAATTTCAGTTCTGTGAAAAATCTCCATACTGATTTCTATGATGGTGGTACTAGTTTTTGTTCCCACCAACAATATAGGAATATTACTTTTTCACCACAGCCACACCAGAATTTGTTATTGTTTAATTTCCTATGATTGCCATTCTTTCTGGAGTAAGATGGAACCTTAGCGTTGTTTTAATTTGCATTTCTCTAATGGCCAGAGGTGTTGGACATTTTTTCATAAATTTGTTGACCATTTGTATTTCTTCCTCCATGAAGTGTCTGTTCATCTCTCTTGCCCACTTCTGGGTTTTTCATTATAGGTGG